AAGAAACAAAAAAAAACGTTTTAGGCATTAAAAAGGATGACTTTCCCATATTTTATGTGTTTTTTCTTTTAAAGAGGAAAGAGAAAATATGTATTGTCATCTGTTTGTAAAATATATTTGTATAATTATAATGTAACAAGTTTATATCAAGAGTTAAATTATACGATCACGTTTGCAAACTCTGGTAAAATATTAGGTCTTTAAAATTTTAGTTCATACTCGTAGTACTTTGTTTATAAGGAGCAAATTATTAAAAGTTTGCTAGCGAGAAAATTACAAAAAAACAAAACAAAAACAATAAACTTACGACTACAAAAGTAATAACACTTTAGTCACTAACTGCATTATAAAAGTAATAAACTATAATAGTGTTATTATATTTATAAAGCACTTATTACTTTTAAAGTTCATTCTTAGTTTAAACAACATTATTAATTCCAAACATTTATTAAAGTAGAAAAGCATCTAGAAAAAATAAAGCGGATATTCAAATATTATTAAAAATTTCAGGAACTTTCACATATCACTTAAACAACGTTATAAAAAAGTACTTTATAAAAAGTATAGCATTATGAAAAACGTTACGTAAAAACGCGCATTAATTTTAAAATCAACCAATAAAAATTTTTATTGGTTAATCTTAAAATTAATGCGCGTTTTTATGGTCCATTAGTAACGTTTTTCATAATGCTAAACTTTTAATGCAATACGTTTTCATAAAGTTGTTTGTCACAATTTTATAAGTTACTTTAGTTTTAATATTATTTGAACATCCACTTTATTCTTCTAAATATTTTTCTACTTCAATTAAAATTTGGGAATACTAATGTTGCTTGAACAAAGAATGAATTTTAAAAGTTTAAAAGTGCATTATAAAAATAATAACACTATTATAGTGTTATTACTTTTGTAATGCAGTTAGTGACTAGAGTGTTATTACTTTTGTAATCGTAAGTTTATTGTTTTATTTTTTATTTTTTTGCTAATAAATTTAAGTTGATTCTCCCTTTAAAAACAAAGAACACAGTTTTGTATAAACTAAAATTTTGAATACTAGATATTTTTCCAGTTTTTTCGTTTTGCATTTGCTTAATTCAACCCTTGTTATTACATTAAAATTATACAAATAAATTTTACAAACACATTGCAATTTGCATTTTTGCTATCCTCAAAAAAAAAAATTTAAGAAAAGGAAAATCATTCTTTTTATTGTAGACTTCAAACTGTTTTTTTTTTTGCTTCGCCTTATCTAATTTTGTTGCTGAATGTAACTCTAAAGAAACAAAAATAAAAACAGTACACAAATTATTTAAATTATTAATTTGTTTTAATTTTTTTCTATTTCAATCTCTTTTTATTTTGTTAGTTTTGTTTTTTTGTTTTTGAAACTTTTTCAGCATAAAACTTGCAAACGGCCGTGTTCACGTTTTCTAAAATATTATAATCGCGTGTGGTCATATGAGACGAAAAACCGCACGCCTTTCCTGGGAAGGCTTGCATATTAATGGTAAGAAATTATATAAGAAAGATCATCCAAAATGGTATGAAATGCAGTTTTAGTTGTGAATAAAAAGGAACTTAGAATTCAAAAAGCTATTGATATATATGGCCTATATGAATTTGCTCTACATCAAGATCATCAAAAATGTTACCAAATAGTTTCAGGATATTTTTTGTGTGATTTATGTGATCCATAATACTTTTTGTTTAATTTTAAATTAGTAGTAGTTACCAATTTAATAATATATACTAGTTTTGTATATTAATAATATATACTAAATATTATTTATAAATAAACTAGTTATTATATTAATAATATATACAGTATCAGACAAAACAAGTGCAACCAAATAATGCTAATTTAGTTTCTTTATATAAAAATGCTGCATTTTTTCAATTTAGAGAAATAACTATGTAACTGTTTAGAGACAACATTCTTCAAGTTTAATTTATCACAAAGTTCATTATTTGTACACGAAAATTAATAAATAAATCAAAAGTATTAAAAAAAGTTGATTTCCTTCTGGACAAAACTAGTGCAATTCCACAAAATGTTGACCAAGCTGTATTTTGCTATCAATATCCTTTGTTGTGGATTACAGCCTGTTGTGGATTACAGCCTGTGGATTACAGGATTGCGAATCCTTTGTTGTGGATTACAGCCTTGCATCTTCGAGGCATAGATTTGATCAGGTGATTAATCAAACTTTGTGGAATTGTTGCCCAGGCTTTTTGGATTTGTTCAAACAGTTGATCCTTATTACGAACAGCTTCACGATTAATTCTGCAGTTGACGATCTCCCACAGGTTCTCGATAGAGTTGAAATCCGGAGATTGAGGCGGCCAATCCATCACCGATAGGTGGTGGTTGTCTTGAAACCACTGCTTGACTACTTTTACAGTGTTTCGGATCGTTGTCTTGCTGAAAAATCCATTTTATCGGTATATTCCATTCAGCATGAGGTAACATAACATCTTTCAGGATATTTTTATACATGAAACAGTCCATTATTCCATTGATTCGATGCATTGGCCCTAGACCGTTAGCAGAAAAACACCCCAAGACCATTACATTGCCTCCACCATGCTTCACGGTCTTATAGCAGTAACGTAAATTGAGGCGTTTTCCAGCCGGTCGACGTACACAGCAAATGCCATTGCTCCCAATGATGTTGAACTTCGATTCATCACTGAACAGGACAGTTAGCCATTTCTGCACATTCCAGTCAATATGAGATGTAGCAAACAGAAGTCTTTTCTTCTGGTTCTTTAGTGAAATCAGCGGTTTCTATGCAGGGCGTCGAGAAAACGATCTGGCTTCAACAGCACATTGTCTGATTGTTCGGTCCGATACAGGCAGCTCTAATTGCTTTTGTATCTTGACTGATGATATCCAAGGATCCTTCTTGATGGATCTGACAATCATAGAATCCTCTCTAGAAGTGGTGGAACGCCACCTTTATCTGCTGCCAACTTCCCCGTAAAATGATATTTGGAATATAGTCTTGATACGGTCCATTTTCTCACGCAATATTTATCACAAATACTTTTTTGTGACATTCCACTTACGTAATCGCCAATAATTTTCTTTCTTATTTCCAATCCAAGACTGTCGGGAGCCATTTTTGCACTTGAAGTCATAAAAATAATAAAAATAAATAATCACGCTTACCGTGTTACATTTACTTTGTGATGATACAATAATGCTCTGTGGAACACAATGTCTTGGTTGGATGTGGACTGTATTGATGTAATGAAACACTTGTTGTATTTCACTTCTTGTATTGATGTTCTTCAATAAAACACTTTGATAAAACTCACTTTGATAAACTGTCTTGATAATACTGACTGATTGACTTTCATATACTGACTGAAATACATGTTGGTTTACATGTCTGTTATATAGTAAAATGAACCTGTGTGAACCTGTTCTGGAAGATTCTAGATGCTTCTTTTCAATGTTTCTGGAAGCTTCTGGATGCGTCTGGATGCTTCTGAATGTTTCTGGATGCTTCCAGATGCTTCTTCTGGAAACTTCTGGAAGCTTCTGCATGCTTCTGGAAACTTCTGGATACTTCCTTTAATTATTAAAAAACTTCTGTGATGTTGACACGGACCAGACTTAAGAAAATGAAACAAACTAAAAAAGTTGAACTTGTTTTGTCTGCTGCAAAATGGCACTTGTCAACGAAATTCTGCATGTGTGCTGTCACTTGTCAGCTGATTGCTCATGTCATGGCATGCTATGACTCCAGACTCCTGAATTGTTTGCTGTGGTAGTATAGTTTGTTTCGTTTTTAAGACATGTAAAATTAGGAACACTTTTTAGCATTGTTTGATGTTTGTTGTAAATGTTTTGTCCAATACTGTACATATTAATAACATATACTAAATATTATTTTTATATAAACTAGTTATTTATTAATAATATATACATATTAATAATATATACTAGTTTTTGTTTTATTAATAATTTTTACTAGTTTTAAAGTATTTTAAAATAAAACACAAAAGGTTTTTTTTAATTTAGTTGTTATTTCTTCTCTGTGGTGTATGGGTGTATGGGCGAGTAATTTGTATAGGTGTGTTATTTTTTTGAGGTTTTAATGTCTGGACATGTTTGAATGATATAATGCTTTCATTTTTTATCTCTTTTAAAGCTTTATAATTAACGAATAACTGATGCTTTTTAACTGTCCTGCTTTGCCCTACCCACTTGCAAAATGTAGAAATTTTGCTAGCCTAGAGTTTTGTTACTTTCAATGTCATAGCTTATTTTTAGAAAAATTTTTTTTTCGTTTTCTTATATCAATGAATTTTAGGAAACTTAAAATTCATTGATAATAAAAAAAAATTTTAACAATGATTAGTTTATCCGAAACTAGTATTTGTTTCTTAAGTGTCCCTATATGCCCCGCTCTACCCTAAATTTTTTTACATTTTAGGTTTAAACTTTTTTTTTAATTAAAAAAAAAGACTATTAAACAATCGTAATAGTTTTTTTTTTTTTACAAAATTTAAAAAATATATAATTTATTTACAAAAGTTATTAATTCAAAACATGTTTTAAATTAATAACTAAAATACTTTAAAAATACTTTAAATTTTTTTGATTAAAGTTATATAATAAATACATATCAATAAAACTAAAATTGTTGTTTTTCATTTTTGATTATTTTTTAATAAAATTTTGTTAATAAAATGAAAGTTATGCAACTAAACTCTGCTGTGCTTTCAGTTCATAGTTTTGTTAGACACTGTGCTTTGAGTTAAGTTTATAAAAATTTTATAGATGATGCATAAAAACTTATTTTTTTTCATATGCTTTCAATGTTTTATGTAAGTATTTTTTTCCTAGGCTCTTCAATTGGGGCCAACTGAAGCTTCACGCTACTGGATGTACTGGTTTCCAGCTCAATATGTTGATGCTGTGAAAGACACCATTTTGGGAAAATGGCAGGTATTATAACAAAAACCTAAAAACGTTTCCAAAATAAAAGTTTTCTGCAGGTTTGATATTGGTGCACTTCAACAAAGAGTGATCAAATTAAAGAAAATGTTTAGTTAACCAGATTTCACAGTTTAAAAGACAAACATTGAGTTATATGAAATAGTTATTAGGAGACAATATCTTCTCCATGTTAAAATATTTTTTATACAATATATTAATAAGAATAGTATTTTCGTATATTTTATTACATGATTATAAATTTTTAATTTTCATTTGAAGTTTTATTCTTAATTTCTTTCTAGCTTGCTGTATTGATTAACAATATGTGTATGTATGTATGTATGTATGTATGTATGTATGTATGTATGTATGTATGTATGTATGTATGTATGTATGTATGTATGTATGTATGTATGTATGTATGTATGTATGTATGTATGCATGTATGTTAATAGATACAAACATATTTGCATTCATGCAAGCACACACACATACATACATACATACATACATTTATACAGGCTTCGGAAGGAGTAAGTGAGTGCACAAGTTATAAATAGCCTGTCTAAACCCAATTTTGTGGGCTACGCGAGCTGCCTGCTCGAAAGGCCTTGCACAGGCTTTTTTGAAAAATTAAAATTATGTTTTGATGAATTTTTTTTTATTCTGAAATTTTATTTTGTTGATTCTTCATGCCAGGTATAGTAAAAAATGTTTTTAGTAAAATAAAGTAATAAATGTAAATGTTTTTAGTAAATAGTAATAAATGTTTTTTTTTTTAATGATAAAAAGACAGAAAAACAATTTACGAAAAATAAAAAAACCTAATCATTCTTTTTAAAAAAAAATTTATATTTAATTTTTATTTAATAATTTAGTAATTAATTAAATAATAAATAAAAAATGATATTCAAATGTTATAATATATAATCAATCTATCTAATAAAACAACAATATATAAAAAACTGTTATACATCATATACTTGTTTTATAAAAACGAATGATTCTAAATATATTATTATAAAAGTTCATTCATTTCTCTTCTTCTTTGTGAATGAAAATGTCATCTTATATAAAAATTTCTAGAATTGCTTTATTAACAAGTAGAAGAATGACATCATTTAAATCAAATTAAAAAGACTTTGGTAATTAAACTTTGATTAGTTGGATAATTCTAAAGTTGAGATAACAGATTTTCGAGGTTACGCTGGCAGTGCAACCTTGAAAAACTGCAGTGTAACGCTGCAGTTTTTATCTTTTGCTCAGAGTTATTAATGCGCGCTCTACTCAGTGAGTTTTTGTTATTATGTTTTTGTTTTGGTTTTGTTTCTTGATTTTTATCCAGACTTTATTCTTTTATTTTCTAGTTTTATGTGTTGTATAATCGCATTTTTGTTGAGTTTATTATTGAGTTGTTGAGTTTATTCCAGATATAGTCAATTGTTGAGTTTATTCCAGATATAGTCAAACCAATAATTTTCAAGCAACGCAAAAAATAGTAGAAAAACAACTTTTTCAACCATCATGTTTCTTTATTCAAGCATCTTGACGTTTGCCTAAAAAATTTGCAATGAATGTAGCAATTTTGCAAGATCTATTTTAGTATTAATATTTTGTCTTACTAAAATAATGGAACAAAATATAACATTAATTAATGTTGTCTTTTTCGTCATAATATACTATGTCTTTTTTTTTGTAAAACATTATTTTTACCAAAAGTTTATATTTTGCACGAGCTTTATTTCGCCTGTGTAAACTGATTTGCATGGGTGTGGAGGCGGGTGCAGGCTATAGCCTGCCATTCCAGCCGAAGCCTGCATACATACATACATACATACATACATACATACATACATACATACATACATACATAACATGCACACACCACAATGGGGTAATTAGAGATCACTGTTCATCGTTCAATTGTCATTCAACTACTTGTTGAAACTAATACACTTAATTATTCATTAGAATGACTGATGAATGCAAAACCAAAAAATTGATTTAATATGTCTAAGAGACCTATTGAATTTTTGTATGGTTCAAAGAGAGAGAGAGAGAGAGAGAGAGAGAGAGAGAGAGAGAGAGAGAGAGAGAGAGAGAGAGAGAGAGGGAGGGAGAGAGAGAGAGAGATTGATTGATTGATAGATAGATAACCTTGGCGGAAGATGAGAGCTTTAGCTCTCACTTGTGCACACACTCCCCTAAACTGGTTTACACAAACTTTTTCTAAACTTTTTTTTAAACTGCAGGTTAAAAACTTTAGCTGGCAAAAAATATATTTTTACATTTAATAAGTACAAAAATGTAAAAAAGGTTTTTGATCCGGAGCTGTTTCAAGACAAATTAAAGTTTTAAGAACTATTTTTGTTGCATTAAAAGATATTCATATTTTTTTGTTGCATGTTTAAAAGACATTCACATTTTTGTGTCACTTGCTCTTTGCTTAGAAATTTAGAACAAAAGGGAAAGAATTGCTTGTATTTAACCTTTGGATAAATGACTTTGATATCATAATTTAATAAATTGCTTTTGAATAAAGTTTTTTTGAAATTCATTAAAATTGTTTACAATAAACTTATACCTTAGTATAACATTATTTTCCTTTTTATGTTTATATTATGAATTTAAAATGAAAAATAACTTTTATTAAACATTTTCAAAATAAATGGTATATACTTTTTTCTTATAATATATAAAAATCTTCTGTGTATATATATATGTATATATATATATATATACATATATATAATGTATATATATAAACTATGTATAAGTATATGTTTATATTATGTTATGTTTATATATATTATGTTCTTATAAATACACATATGTATACACATATGACATTAGAATGACAGCCTATTGAGCTTATCTTTGTTTGTGTACAGAATTTAATAAACTAAAATAATCTTTAAAAAATATTCCACTTTGTTGTTTAGGGTTATCTCTTAGCAATATAGCATTGAAAATTTGTTTAGTAAAATATTGTCTTAACTTATTATATTAGTTTCTGTTGATAATACTTTTTTATTGTATATATTTTATTAGTGTAAATCTATAAAATACTGATATGACCATTTTTGTTTTAAAACACTTTAGTAGACTAAACTTTTCAGTTGATGTGTATACAGTTGCTTTTTTTTGTAAAACAATTTTAGTTCAGTTTTGGGTAGCACTTTAACAGCTTCCAAATCTTATAGCATACACAGCCCCACTATTTTGATACAGAGTGTCCACCATATATAAGCAATTATGTACATACACATATCTGATATAAGTTTTTTTTCTTTTCTACTACTTTTCTATTTTAATTTCTACAAATTGAAGAGCAAAAAATATATTTTCTAACATTACTTTTAGAAAAGTTACATTTATGATCATGATTGACCAAGAGCAAGATATTAACAAAAATTCTGATTTCAAAAAAGTTAATATATTAAAAAATCACTCGGAAAGATTTGTTGACACAAGTCTAAGTCAGAATAATGACTTTAATCTCACTCAACTGCGTTGCTTTTATCAAGGGGAATCGGTGTATAAACGCATAGAAGAAGTGAGGAAGTCAATTTACTACATTCGTAAAAACTGGAATATGTTTGATCAGTTTATGGAAAAATTAATAGATTTTTTAACTCAGGAGGCTGAGCCATTTGGTGGACTATCTGATTCGGTGAAGCATATGTTTACAATGAAACGCAACTGGTGTGATGTTGAAGAAAAAGACAAATTTTTTTTAACTGAAAAAGAGGAGTCATTCTCCAATCCAGAAGAAGAGTTTAATGTGTTGTACACGTACACAACATCTAGCGGCTTCAAAGAAGTTTTTAAGGTTATTAATAACATCTTTCAAGATGATTTATCAGTCAATATTAATGACAAAATCTTAAGTGCTGTATTTCTTGTTGAGCTGATTAATATTGATCTTTATAATTATGTTAAAAAGTATCCGCAATTCCAAAATTTTGAAGGTGTTGTCTACAGAGGCATGGTATGTTCCAAGGACAGTCTTGATACATTTAAAAAGTTTACTTGTCAGCCAATTGAAAATAGATATATATCGATTCCATTAGGTTTATGGTCAGCTACTTATGATTTAAGTGTTGCCATTAATTTTATACAAGATGAACTGCAAAAGAATTTAGAAAATGTACCATTGTTGTTAAAAATCCGTGTTTTGAATCTTGAAGAAAAATTCCTAGAATTTTATCGCAAAAAGTATACAGAAAGCGTTGTTAGTACGATATGTGCTGTTTATGTGGGAGAAATATCTCAATTTAAACAAGGAAAAGAAGTTTTGTTGCGAGGGGGATTTTACCAAGTTTTGAATTTTTATTCTGAAGTTATAAATGACATTGAATTTAAGGTTTTAGACTTAGTGATGTTGAATACAAACCGAGATCATCTTTATAATCCTACTCGTTTAGGTACATTGGATGATGAGGCAAGAGTTTTATTTGGAAATATGGTTGGGTTTACTCGTAACAAGTATATAGTAGAATATTGCAAAGAACACAGTCTACATGAAGATATGCTTTTGTATGAAAAAGCACTATATAATAATGAAATAAAACTCAAGGAGCTTATGGAATAGAGATTTTTTGGTATTTTTAATAATTGTCTTATATGTCAGTGTCTTTATTAATCCTGTCCAGGTAGTATTAAAATTCAATGTTTGTGGTATAATAAGAAGTTTGAATTTTGTTAAACATTTTTTTATGAAAATAAATCTCCATAAAATTTTTTTGAAGATAATATTGGAAATAAATATCGGAGATATGGAGTATCTAAATATATTGTTTTAATATTAAAAAAAAAAAAAAGATGTCTTTAAATTACTTTATTGTTTACTTTAAATATTATCTAAAAAGTCAAATTTCTTTTTCCAGTGATTGGTTAATTTTTCTCTTTATAATGATGTTTCCAAAATTTTGAATTTAAATTTTTAAATAAAAATTAAATTCGTAAATAAAAACATCATTTTTATTGCAGTTTTCTGCTTCCAATAAGCACCTAAAACTTTTTTAATAATTTTTTTGTTGAAAGTTTTTTGCTTTTTAAATAAAATAACAATAATAATATATAATTTTTTTTACAAATATTTTTACACATTGTTTTATATTATTTAATTACATCAACTAAATTGTTTTTGATTACACGTTATAGTGTTATAGGTAGACATGATATTGATTACACCCATTATAGTGTTTTCTTTTTCTTTTTTTGATTTTAATTCACTCCTAACAAGGCTGCAAGCAAACACTATTAAGTTAAGAGTTACTAGAAAATAAAAATAAAAAAGCAGTTGACAGAAGGCTTGAAAAGTTGTAGGTTGTATGAGTCAGGACGAACCTGAAGATGGGAGAGAGTTTTAAAGAGTAAAAGTGTATGGAAAAAAACAAGACAAAATTTTTTAGAGCATGCAGGAACAGATACAGTAGAAGGATGATAGCATCTTAGCAGATGCTAACTTTTCAATCGATTGTATATATGGTTTCCATAGGAGAGGTCAATAGTGAACAATAATCCAAGAAGACGTAAAGAAGAAGACTCAGTGAGAGGGTTGCTATTCATTAATATAGGAATGTCGACATAATAGTGATAGTTTATTGCAGCAAATAACATTTTTTAGAGTTAATATTCTTAGGCCTCTGCAAGCCCCAATCAGTTACAGAAGTGAAGTCAAGTTCAAGATTGGCATCTTGTTCTAAGCAATCAAAAGACTTTTTGTCAAGTCAAGAATATTAAGTTGAATCGTAAGCAAATAAGAGCCACTTTAGATGTAAGTTTGCCAGGGAGGTCATTAATGTAGATAAGGAACAAAACAGGATCAAGGATAGAACCTTGAGTTACTCTAGAAGTTACTGGAAATGAAGTGAGTTAGCCTTTGAGATAACTTTAATAAATTTTTACAGATGCCTTATATAAAGCAAGTTTATGGAGAAAACCAAGCTGCCAAATATTATCAAAAGCTTTAGATATGTCAATAGCAATAGCCCTTGCAACCTTCGGAATAAGGGTCGGCATTTGGCAATGGTGAACTAACTGCTGACTTAAAAGTGTTTGAGGTCAGCAAATATTGCCGACCTCATTTCTATCTTTTATAGTAAAACCTTTGTATCAATTTTTTTTTGCGGACCTGATGCCGACCTCTAAAAGATTGAGGTCGACAAATTATTGCCAACCTTATTTTTCCTAATTCCAAGGGTTGCCTTGCCTGGCCATCTTCAACTATTGCACAATAGAACCTTTCAGTCATAGCAGTTGGCAAGTCAGTCATAGGGAAAGAAGATTAAAACCATATTTACTGTCTGACCGTATTTATTTGACTTAAATCCAAATGTTAGAAATTTGTTGATTAAATACTCAAAGATCTTGCTAATTACAGAGAGAATACTAAACAGACTATAGTTGTAGGGTCAAAATGTTTCCAGAATTTTTTTAAATTAAACCACTTATGTCATTTTCCAACAGGCAGGAAAACAAGATTCAGTCAACCATTTATCAAATAGTTTAGAGAGAATTGAATAGAGGTCCGGAGAACACTTTTTTAAGACTTTTTTTTTTTTTTTTTTTTTAATTTAATTCACCTCCTCAAGGCTGAGAAGGCCACTACAGACGAGGAGGCTACTTATTTGTGGTTGTAACCCTCTCTCAACTCTATAACTCCGAAACATGAACCTTGATGAACAAGACTGCTGCGCGGAGAAACAAGTTATTACATTAATGTTGTCTGGACCACAAAATGTAGAAAATTTTAATTGAGATATAACTTAATCAATGGAAGTTAGAGTGAATTGAATGTCTAACATTGGAATAACCTGTTTAACTGGAATGGCAGAAAGAGTATGGCTGTAAGATTCAAGAGTTGAATTAGAAGAAAAGCTCTTTGCAAATAGTTCTACCTCATCTTTGGGAGAGGTAACAAGATAAGTTCAATGAATTAGAGATTTTATGTTAGACTTTCCTTTGTTAATGAAACTGTTGAAGATTTTTTTAAATTCTCTAATTTCTGATAAAGTATAGATAAGGTACAAGGTTTAGTAAACTGGGAATAATGGAGCCTTAGCATCAGACAGCACCTTTTTTATATTTCTTGCAATGATAAATAGGTGTTTGTTCTCAAGAGAGTTATTCTTTTGAAAAAGATAAGAAAAATAATTGCAAATAGATATAGCAGCTACACAAAAAGGAGAAAACCATGAAGTAGAATGAGGCATGTAACTTGGAACCAATGAGAAGGAATAAAACCATAGCTGCCTGTATCCAGGAGGTTGCGTAAAAAATGCATTTAATCAGCAGCAAGAGAAAATAAATCAGCCCAAGGACTGTCACAAAGGAAATCATGAAAAGAATCCTAGTCAGCTTCATGGTAGTAAGTAGTGAGTAGTAGGTAGTCATGGTAGTAGTAGTTATGGTAGTCACATAGTCATGGTAATAGTAGAGTGAGTCCAAAGATGAAGTTTTATTGAGATCATTGCATGGTCAGATGAAAGATTTCTAGAGATCATTGAATGTTTAGAACCACCTAAAGGAGAAAAAGGAGAAACTTAACACAAGTTAGGGTCAGAGGCAAGACACAAATCAAGGAGTGAAAGTAAGTGATTAGGGTTATCTAGAAAACAAATCATAGAGTTGTCTGTGTAAAAGATTGAGAAATACAAAAGTTATGGGCTTTAGTGCCAGCGGAGTCAGTGGTGTTAGAGCTAAGCCATTCAGTGGAATGAGCATTAAATGATGTGTAAGTATACCCCAATTGATGTGTAAGTCATAGATGAGTTTTTTTCCGGAAATTCCCGGAATTCCGGAAATTCACTTAAAACACTTTTAATTTTTCCAGTAATTTCTGGATGTTTTTTGATATTAATTTGAAAAAAAGTTAACATATTTTTACATAAAATTTTACATACAACAACTTTTGCATTTAAACAAATATGTTTTCTATAATTAAAATTTTAATTATAGAAAACATATTCGGGATTTTCCAGGATTATCATAATAAAAAAATTTCCGGGATTTTCATAAAATCAAATACTCATCTATGGTAAGTATACCTCAAGCCAAGCATGTGATTAACATGTGATAACTAAAAATCTGGACAAAATTAGAAATTGTATAACTTTTTGTGTGAATAATTTTGCATATGTATGGTTGTGATACATGGAATCATTTTGCAAGACCACGCTGTGAAATATCATCCTTTTGATCAATCAAATTTTCAACCACTTCCAACTTTTCTTTCTGATCGTATATTATTCTCCTTTCTTTGAAGTATATTATAAATAGTAGATTTTGGTATGTTCTCCATTCGAAAATGATTTACAATAAAGCTTTTATTCTTATCTGGATACAAATCCAAAAATGCAAAATAGAAGTGATTGCAAGTGTATTAAATTTCATATTTCAAATTTCAAGCTTCATATTTTAATATTTACTCAAACTTTGTCCAGATTTTTAGTTATCACATGTTATTGGAGTTTTTGCAAATCAAATCAATATGTATATACAGTCAAGCATTGATTATATGTATCACATAGTGTATTCTATGATATGATATAATTCAAAAGTATTCAAATTTCAAATAATAATTCCTAGGAAAATATAGGTTTTTGCTAAACACAGGCCTTTACCACCTGACATTTTGTTGTTGTCTAAATATAAAAATCAATAAACACAGCTATTCCCTCAAAAAAAAAATCTATAAATTTTTTATATTGTGTTATTATAGGTTAATAAAATATTGGTTATTATATTTTGACACTATGTTAATTGTTATATGTTGCTGTTAGTTTTTGATGGCTGCTTTAATTTTTTAGCTCATTTCTTCTATACATAAATCTTTTCTATGTATAGACCTCTTCTCACCCTAAGCCATCAGTTAGTTTATGTACTTTCATTTTAGTCTTGTTACTTCTGATGACATCATCAGTATTGTTTTGTAAAGTATTTCATCAGCAGTGTTTTGAATTAACTTAAACCAGAATTAATATTTATAATTTTACGTTTCTTCTAATAATTTATGTCTTAATTGATGGTATTATTTTCATACATTATGTATTTATACTCTCACAAAAATAATAACATTTTTATTATAACTAAATGTTTTTATCCAATTTATTATTATATAAGTATTAAGTATTAAAACATGTCTGGAAATGTTGCTAATAAACCCAAAAAACAAAGATGGTATCTTGGTGGATTAGCTGGATCTGCTGCTGTTGTTGTGACTCACCCACTTGACTTAATAAAGGTAGTTTATAGTTTTTTAATTATAAAGTTTTTTTAAATAGTTTTCAAATAATTTTCAAATATTTCTATAGGTTCATTTGCAAACTCAAAATAAATCTTCACAAGGCATCTTAAATTTAGCATCTAATGTTATGAAGACAGATGGTATTATGGGTTTTTATAGTGGGATTAGTGCTTCTGTCCTCAGACAGGTTTGTTTATATACAACTTTTATTTACAATATAATATACATATCTATATATATATCTATATATATATATATATATACATACAGGCTTGGTCGGGAAGTGGGTGCGATCGCACTCGATAATTGACCACGGAAATAATATTTAGTTGCGAAAAACTGGCCAGATTTTTTAGTCGTTTTGAGGACATTTCAAAAACAAACAAAAAAGTGCAATAAGATTAACTGGACCGATGAGAGACAGTTCAAAAAAGAAAAATAGCTTTTAAAGCGAAAAAACTTAACACAAAAGAAACAATTCTTCTTAGTAAGATAAACAATTGAAATAGTTAAATCATTGAGTTACTGTAGAAATTCAATTAGTTAGATAGAAATTAACTAAAAATGTTAAATTACTTTGTAAGGAGGAACCGGAACTGCTTCACAATACCGCTGATGATGTTTAGTGAGTGGGCTTGTGAGTGGATTTTAATTAGTATTTAAAACAGAAAAAAGTAAATTTAAGTATAACTAGTTTGTAAGAATGGCTGAAGCAAAAATAATTGAAGTTAGTAAACCAATTTCTAAAAACCTAAAAACTTTTCTTTCTTGAGGGAAAGAATCAGTTATCAGGTATACTGAAGAAAATGGATTAGTGGTTAAAATTATTTGTATTAACTTTGATGATTATTAATAATTTCATTGAAAAATTTTTGTTTACAAAATCAATCGCACAAATTGCTTTAAAAGGTTACATTTGAATAAAATACACATAGATAAAATTACATACATAAAAAATACATACATAAAAATACATTAGATACATAAAAACACATTACATACGTAAAAGATATATCCCTTATATATAAAAAATAAGAATATACTAATAAAATCTATAATATATTTACAAAACGTTGACAAGTTAAAAAATATAAATTTAAAACATTTATTTTTGTAAACAAATAATGTTAGTTTAAAACAGCTTTGCAGATGTGGCTCCGTGTATTAAAACAATAGTTCGTTTGATAGTATATTCTTAAAACAATTTATGCTAGAAATCTCAACGAAAACTTAACAAAACTCAAATAATACAATTTTTAAAAATATTTCAACAGAATACTCTAAAACATTCCGTTAGTAATTTTTGAATACTCTAGAAATTTTGGTTAGTTTTTTTTGAACCAATAGAATATTAAAAAACATCTTTGTGCAGAAAAATATTCTTTTTTATTTTTCCGCACAAAGATGTTTGAGTACATTTGAGTTAATGTATGTTTCCATATATGTCCGTAAAACAAAATATTTTAAAATTTATGATAAAATAATGAACTCATTATTTTATCATAAAATAATTATTATTTTGCAGACAAACAAGCAAACATAAACTTAAATGTTCTCAAAAGAACTAAAAATTCTGGCCGGCTTTTTGCAACTAAATATTATTTCTGTGGTCAGTTATCGAGTGCGATCGCACCCATTTCCCAACCAAGCCTATATATATATATATAGGCTTGGTTGGGATATATATATATATATATATATATATATATATATATATATATATATATATATATATATATTTCCCTTGGTTGGGAAATATATATATATATATTTTTATATATATAAATATATATATATATATATATATATATATATATATATATATATATATATATATATATATATATATATATATATATATATATATATATATATATATATATATATATATATATATATATATATATATATATATATATATATATATATATAATATATATATATATATATATATATATATATATATATATATATATATATATATAAACATACACACACCACATATATATATATATATATTTATATATATATATATATATATATATATATATATATATATATATATATATATATATATATACATGCACACACCACCTGGCAAAAGTTTGCGGTCACATGGCAAAAATAAAAAAAATTGTTAAAAAAAATAAATAAACTAATTCAAATAAACTCGGAAAAAATAAAAAATATATAAAAAACAAATTATATTAAGCCGAATTTCATTATAAACGAATCTACCTTTTTAAACCTACAATAAAAATTTTAATCCAATGATATAGTTTATGAAAAAAAAATTATAACTTTTTTTTTATCAAAAAATCTTTGCTTTAATTACTCCAAATACAAGTTTCAGCATATATTTAATTAATTAACCTAAATGAATTGGAAAAATATCTATCCACAGGTGTTGTAATATTGACCACAAATGGGTTGTTGATGTAGGACATTCTTTTCGTATCTCACAATTCAGTTATACCTATAGTAACTCCATTAGGTTGATATCTGGTAATTGTAGCGGCCATATCATAATTTTGAGTTTTCCACAAACTTCTTTTTTTTTTTTTCTTTTTTTTTTTTTTTTGCAAACAGTTTTTACAGTATTTGGTTGTGTGTTTTGGGTCATTATCCTGTTGTATGTTGAATCCGCTCCTAATTCGATGTTTTCCATATGATATTCTGAAAATAATAAATTTGGATTTGTCCGCTGCACCTTTTGCCAGTCTATTTTGTCCAACTTTAGTGAGCATATTAAAGCTTTTCAAAATGAAGCTTCTTTTTTTTTGACTTGTCTTCAGCCTTTAATGTTTATAAGGCTATCTACTTTTTTTCCTCTCTTTATTTGTAATAGTGCATTTAAATTGATGAATCGTATCAATTACTGTTGATTGCTGTATTTTCAACAATTTTAGAATATATCTGGTAGAATGATAAATGAACCAAAGTGAATATGAATATATATGAAGTGAAATGAATATATCTGGTAGAATGATGAATGAACCAAAGTGAATATGAATATATATGAAGTGAAATGAATATATCTGGTTGAATGATTTAATGAATATAATGGTTGAATTACTTGAAGTGATAAATGATTGATTGTGGTGTTGAAGATATTTTTAAAAGTGATAATTTATCTATTATTTATATAGGTTAACAGCTGTTCTCTATTGTTTTGCTGTTGTTATTTTAAACAATGAATAGCGTGGATATCTTGACTTTTAAACAACGCATTAAACGTCCATATATTTATTCGTCCTTGATTATAGCATGGAAATATAAAATAGATGGAAGTTCAACCATATTGAAATTCTTTGGGACTATGCTTGTAACTTTTTGTTTTGTAAACAATAAGAAAACAACATCAAGAAATTCAAATTCTTTGACTTTCTATAATATTTTCCAACTCTTTAATATCTAAAAATAGTCAAAATGTATATATTTATATATTGAAAATTAAAAATAATGTTAAATTTAGTTCATCAATAAAAATTACTTACTGAACTAATTTATTAATTCAATTTATTATATTATTGGTAAAAAAAAACCAATGTAATTGAATTTTTTCGAAAAATACAAATTTTGCGATCAACTAAGTTAGAGCAATGTTTATAATACAATAATGAAGAAAATATATTTTGCATGATTCATTTTCAAAACATAAGTATATTTTAATCAAATTATTTTTGTAAGAAGCAATTTTAAAGTTTAAAATCAATTATTGCAAGTTAAAAACTATTAAAAGGAAATAGGAACTTTTGTCGGGCAGTGTATATATTAAAATGGTTTAAAAAAACAACATTTTTAAAAAATATCTGCAGCTCACACCTTATTGTGTTCTATATGCCACTAAAAATATTTTTTATTCAAAGAACTTTTAAATCCAGTGCTATTTTATCATATAAAACAAATTAAACGATTTTTTAAATAGTATTAGAAATCCAAGAGCATTAGGAAGCCCCTAAAAATATTTTTTTCTTTAAAGATCCAGTGTTTTTTTTTTCATATATAAAGCACATTTAGGTGATAAGATTGTTGTTTTTAAAAATAGTTGTAGTTTGTTTGAAGCAATATAATAGAAATTGGCACTTAAAATATTAAGTATTGAAAAGATACATCCAACATAAACAACAACAAAATTAATACCAATTTATTATTTAAAAAAATTTTGTATTAGATTCAATAAGCTTCTAATACAAACTGTTGATTGTAAAAGCATTATAATTAGGTAAAGTTATTTATAACAGGCTTTTTTTTTTTTAACAAAATGAGTATGAACAATTGAGTAACTTTTTAACATTTTTATATTGTTTTCAGGAATCATCACATAAAATTTATGATTTTTGAAGAAAACCTTTCAAGAAAACAAGACATTTTCATTTTATAATCATGCTTTGGTTTTATTTAGAAAATTGTTGACACTTGAAAAAATTATTCAAGTTATTTATAATTATAAAGGTATTTTAAAAAAGACTTATTAAGAATAAACTTATAAAATGTTATCAAGTTATTTACCTTTATAATTATAAAGGTATATTAAAAAAAAATTATAAAAAGAATAATAAATTAACCTTTTTTATAAAGAAATTTGAGACCAATGTGAAAAGATCTTAAATGTATATATACTTCAAAAAAGTTTATGTAAGCAGAACAAACAAAAATGCTTAAAATATAAAAAATTTTGTATTAACTTTAGATGACATACACAACCATTCGCTTTGGATTGTACGAAGTAATCACATCGAAACTTCTTGAAGGACGAGATGGTAGTTTTATTTTTTTAGCAAAAATATTTTTAATTTTGGTTTTATTTTTTAATTTATTGTTTATATTAAAGTTTATTTTTTAAATTATTGTTTATATTAAAGTTCTAAATATGAAGCTAATGCTCAATTATTTCACAAGTTTAAAATATAGAAATTTTTTTCCTAATATAAACTGAAATAGCCTGCAGGACCTTTAGTACATACATGCATACATCCACTATCTTATACCACTATCACACAGTACATACATCCACTATCTTATAGCCTTATAGTTAAAACACATAGACATAGTTATTCATAGTAAAAAAGTTAAAGTTATTTTTATATTCTCAAAGTTGTTATGGCAAAACACCAATTCTCTTAATATGTCAGTGAATTTTAGCCTAGATGAAAAGGACCTTCAAATTGTTTTTCCACTATGTTTATGTTTTGCTTATGTTGGCATGCTCGGGCATTTAAAAAAAAAAAAAAACATTTCTTTTTAATTGAAGTCATATCAACTATTGCTATATTTTTGACATGTGACACAAAAACAACACAAAAATCATAAGCTCCATGAAATGAAATACATATAATGTTTTTGTCTTGTAAATGGGAAGTTCACTTAATTTTTATGTAAAGTTTTGGATTTTTACCCAATCCAAAACTGTGGGGTAAAATTAAAAGCAGAAGTATCTAAACAGAACCGAATAGCAGAATTGAGCAAAAGCACAATGAAAGCTTGTTGTCGCGCTAAAATAGTGTTTATAAATTGTGAGTCTCTTGTTGCTTCAATCCTGTAAAAAATTGTGGCTGTTCTAGAAGTTCCATGTACCCATACATAGTACTAAAACATGTTTTTTAATGTGACTTTTTTGTTATTTAATGTCCAACATCCATGAAATTTCAAAATAAAAATATATTTTAAGTAATCCTGCATTTAAGTTAAATGAGTCTTGATATTATACAATAAAGCTTCTGTTTATAACCATACTTATCTAAATACGACTGTTGATTGTCGAATTCATATATATATATATATATATATATATATATATATATATATATATATATATATATATATATATATATATATATATATATTTACATATATAGATATATATATTTACATATATAGATATATATATTTATTTATATATAATATACTTATATATATATTTACATTTATAGATTGTTTACCATTTTATCAGAAGTTCACAGTGGGATGTTTTGCAGGTAAATTAAAATTTAATTTCATAATTTTTTTTGATTTTATTTTTTTTTTACCCAATTTCATAAACCAATATTGATCAACATTGCTTTTTCAATTAAGTCCATCAATTTAAAAAGGAAATAAAAATATTTTTTTTTTTTTTTACTGTATGTACAAGATTTATAATGGGCTTTAAAAGTAATTTTTGATTAAATATTTAAAAAATATATTAGTTGCGAATTCTATTTATTTGAAACATTTGTTTTGAAATATTTTGTTTTATTTTGAAACATTTGAATGAACTATAAAAAATGTATTAGTAAATAAATTAAAGGAAAAAAATAAAAGTTAAAATATATAGACTCAAATAACAAATATTTAAATATTTTAAGACTTGAGTTCTCCCCTTCATTTAAGAATTATGTTATTAGCTTATATATATATATATATATATATATATATATATATATATATATATATATATATATATATATATATATATATATATATATATATATATATATATATATATATATATATATATATATATATATGTCTATATATATATATATATATATATATATATATATATATATATATATATATATATATATATATATATATTTATACAGCACTTGAAATATCAGTTGATAAGCAATCAATGATTGTCTACTTTTGAAAAAATGATGTTTTGATCTCTCAATATCAATTCTAGTCAATCAAATTTAATTGGCAAATATTGCAAGGCAAACTTAGTAATAAAAAATTTAAATACCTTTAAAAAGAAATTTAAATTATTACGTTAGCAATGTTTTTGAGACCAAAACAATCTTTAGTTTACAGTATAAAAAAAATTCAAAAATATTGAATTAGCAAAAATACAGAATAATAATACCAAATATTTTTGATTGGCGTAATAAACGTAGTTTGAGATCATTTTTTTCTTTCCAACTTTTAAGTCAGAAAAATAAGCGGTTTGCAAAAAATCAATTATTTGTTTTGGGCGAATTAAAATTAATAAAAAAAAAGCAACTTTACAGAGAAGTGTGTATATATATATATATATATATATATATATATATATATATATATATATATATATATATATATATATATATATATATATATATATATATATATATATATAAATATGTATGTGTGTGTATATATGTGTGTGTGTATATATGTTTTTTTTATAAAATAATTATTATTTTTGAAGTTTTTATATAATTTAGCTTCTTTTTAGAACAAACAAGACATACTTTTGAAAAAACTTTTGTTTATTAATTTTAGGGACCAAGGCTCTTGAGGCACCACTAAAAATGTTTTTTATTCAAAAAACTTTTAAATTCAGTGTTATTTTATCATTTAAAACACATTTAAAACAAATTTAAGTTGAGGACTGCAGAAATTTTTTTTTAAATATTGTTTTTTGAACCACCATAATATCTTATTGTTTTATTTAAGCTCTACAAAATTCAATACAAATTTCAATAGTTAGTAAATATTTTAATTATTTTTTTTCTTTTAATGTTTTTTTCTTATATTTTATACTATACAACTTAGGATTTGTTGGTGGAATTGCTGGAAATCCTGCTGACATGGTTAATGTGAGGTAAAAGAATTGTTTTTGCAAAAAAGGTTAAACATTATCAACAGTCTTTAAAACATATTAGCCTTTTAATGATAAATTTTACTTAATTTCTAATACCAAGTTTAAAACAATATTTTTTAAAAGACGGGAAGGCAATTTTTAATATTTAAAAGTTTTATATTGTGGTAGTTAAAAGAAAACAAACATTATTATTCAAGATGTTTTAGTTACTCATAACTCCCTAAAAATCAGCATTTGTAGATAAAATTTTTGATTTAGTAAATAAATCATATAATAACAATCATTAAATATTGGTCAACATCAAAAATATATATATTATATATATATATATATGGAATTTCTTATATAAAAAAATATTTTTACTTTGTTAGTTTTTATATGTGTTACACAATAATTTAGAATGCAAAATGATACTAAACTTCCAAAAGAGCTTCGCAGAAAGTAAGTTATTTTTTTGTTATTTTTTTTTTCACAGTACTATTTAATATGATAGTTCTTGTAATGTCTGCTGGTTTCAAAAATAATCAAAATGATCCTACATTTTGATTATTTTTGAGAAGTTCAATTTTATATATTAAATTTGACCCAATTGAATTTTTGAGAAATTCAATTTTACATATTAAATTTGACCCAAATTATATATAATAAATTTGACCCAATACAATAAAAGTACAATAAGTATCAAATTTGACCTTATGTCGATACAATTAAAATACAAAAATGAAAAACCCTGCATTTTGATTGTTATGACATTGGGTCAAATTTGCTAGATAATCAAAAAATCGTTTTGAATTTTGTTCTTTTTTTGTGAGTTTGATAATAAAATTGGCAAAAAAGTTTAACTTATTTAGTTTATCAATTATTAGGTATGTTTTCTCTTTCATTGACAGTGTTTTAGTACAAATTGAAATTGACATTTACAACTGAGCTGTAATTTAGTTTTTTATAATCACTAAGTAATGTGTATGTATTATTTCATACATTAGTAAATACTACCTTTTTGTTCATATATGTTAAAGAGTTAGCAACTCCTCAATAACATCCTGTCTTTTGACCATGCTACACTTACCCTGTATTATGTGTTATAGGTTTAATGGTTCTCAGTAACACATATCCCTAGGCCACAGAGTATCTTAAAAAAGCTCACATAGAGCCATTACTTGACTGGATGCTTAACTTAATACTTACAATTAAAATATTATTGTGACTCAAACAACTAATCTAAATAACATGTACTGACTGTATTTACTATGTATGTCATGAATATAATGATTATGTTGATCATGAATATAATAATTGATCATGAATATAATAATTATGATTAATCTTTTGTTTAAAATGTTTGAGTGTCTTTTTCTGCATTTGTAATGTTCAGTATTTATAGTTGAGAGAGGGTTATAACCACTATTAAGTAGGCTCCTCGTCTGTAGTGGCCTTCTCGGCCTTGAGGAGGTGAATAACAAGATAATAATAATAATAATAATTTCATTCAATACATACAATAAACTATTTTTCTTTAGTTACTCGCATGCATTTAATGGTTTATACAGAGTTGCATTAGAAGGTAACATTTTTATGTTTAATTTTTGTGAAATGTGTTGATTTTTCATAAACAATGATGACAATTTGATAGCTACTTATTGTTGTTGGCTTTGTATTATAGAAAACTATGCTATAGAAGATCTGCAAGAGGTTAATAGTTTTTCAGTATTAAGGTTTGTGTTTTGTAGTCAGTTATTAAATTTTTAGTTAAATAATTAATAAAAAAAATAGTGCATATAAAAAAGTTCCTCAATTGTTGTAATTTCCTGAAACTTTGTTTTTTTATCTTAAAAAAAATTTAAATTTAAAAGTTTTACTATTTTTGTTATTCCATTTTATAGTTTAGTATTTTTGATAGAAATTTATTGAGTTATTGTATAAAAATATGAGTAGTTTTAATTGAGTTTTTATTAATTATTTTGAAAGTTTAGAAATTCAGTAGCTTTGAGATTTTGAAGGTTTTTTGAATGAAATGACTAAGAACAAAAAAAATTTAAGAGTACTTAGGATGCATATTGAAATAGTTTTATCTCTGCATTATTACCGTCAAACGGGGTGACTTTGATAATCTAAGTGACTTTAATAATTTGGCCTGTTAGTTACAAAGATCTTTTTGCTTTAAAATGTAATTGTTAAATAACCACTCATTTCTATAATTTTTTATGATATATAATTATATTTTGTATGTTTTTAAAATTATAATGATTGTAAATTGTTTTTAACTCGTGCAAATGTATTGGGGTTAACCTGACTTAAACAATAAAATAAAGATTTTTACCTGTGCTCAAAAAATCTGATGTTTTTTTTTAAATTAAACTACTGCCTAGTTTTTCTTTTATTAAACTACTGCCTAGTTCATTGCTAGTTCTTTTGAAAATGGTTATGATAAAAACACATATCTAGAACCAAGTTAACTTTGCCAATTGTTACTCTTTAAAATATGTTTATTATAAATTGCATACAAAATTTTTATTTCAGATGGTTTTCGAACACTGTTTGCAGGTGTAACTATGACTGCTGTAAGAGGTCTCCTAATGACTATGGGGCAGGTATTTATAAATTTAATTTTTTATTAAATTTTTATTAAACTTTTGCATATTCTCATTCTTTATGAACTTGATTGAAAACTGTTTTGTTACTTACACAAAATTAGTTATCCATAACTTTTCTCAAGGCTTCTGTAATTGTTTTTTTATTTATACTCTACTCACTTGCTCTGTACCCAATTCTTTCATCATAAATTTAAATCATTTATTTATTTGGCTGAAAGTAAAGGTATTGTGTGTAAGATTTTTATATTAAATTGCCTTGGTCTGTTATAGAACTAAATAGTTAGGAGCTATTGAGCTTTGGTCAAATTTTATTTAATTAGTTTCCAAACTATGACAAACCTAAATTGACAAAGTTGTATAAAAAACAATATATATATAAAATATAAAATGCTTTATTAAAAAATTAAGCTTTTATTTAATTTATATATATATGTAAATATTGTTAAGCCTAATTTAATTTATAAAATTTTAAAATTATTTAAACAATATGTAAAACAATTTTAAAGTAATAACCGCTATTACCTATTTAATACTTATGAAGTAAAATTTTATTTTTAGGTAGCTGTTTATGATCAATCAAAGCAGATGTTAATCTCAACACAGTAACTATTTTGTTGCTATTTCCTTTTAATTATTTGTATTTTATTATTAATATTTTTAATATAAAATGATTTCTTGCAATTTTTGATGCAGTCAAGCTACACAAAAATATGATGATATTTTTCAAAAATATTTTTTTTGAAACATCCCAATGTATATGTTGTGAAAAATCTCAAATCATACCAAAGATTGATATAATTAAGTAAGGAACACTACTAAATATGTTATTAATGATTGCACAATTAAGTGCAACAAAAACATAGTAAAACCAAGTAAAAACCATGTAAAATCAAAATGTCTGCTATTTAGATTTATTCATATTTTAATAGTATTCTACTGGAGAGAGTAATCATACAACTATGTTGTTGCTTTTTACCTGTTTTTTTGTTGTTGTTGTTGCTGTTTTTTTAATGTAAAAAAAAAGGTTTAAAAACACTACTCATTCATTTTTTTTAACTATTTTCGCAACCCGAACAGGAGCCTTGACAAGGCTGCTACACAATTGGAACCACCAGGAGTGAGGTGGGGTCAAACTTAAAACTTCTTACTAATACATATATATATATATATATATATATATATATATATATATATATATATATATATATATATATATATATATATATATATATATATATATATACATATATGGTCCATTGTTTAGAACACCATTATTAAAACAAGTTGTTGTCTAATAAAATTCTTTGCTGGGGGTTTGTTTAAAAATCACACAACAGCATTAATATATTAATAATGTATATTGTAATTTTTTTATTTTTATTTTTATTTATTTTTTAACTTATATAAATTTTATAGATTTTATAATATAAAATTATTATATTACAACATTAACTTATATAAATTTTATAGATTTTATAATATAAAATTATTATATTACAACATTAAACATTGTGCTTTAACACAAAAGCATGTTGCTGAAAAAATTATTTTTATTTTTTAAGTTAAACTTTAAAAATTTAGTGATGTAACATTTCTCTCAATTTTAAATTGCTTTTATTAAGTTGATTTTTGGCTATAATTTGGGGTAGATGCGACTCCTTTGCCATGGTTAAGTCAACTTATCTAGGAGAGGAAAAACTTTGACATGTTTGTATTTTATACCCCTAATTTATTTATGGTAGGTAGAGCTTATAAACTGTGATTTATACCCCTAATTTATTTGTGGCAGGTAGAGCTTATAATAACTGTGTTCTAATCTGTAAAACAGATTAACAACATAAGGGCATCTGATTCCATGTCATATTAAAATATAAAAAAAAGTTTCCTTTAAAAAGTTATTTGTAAAATGTTTAAAATTATTTATTAAATATTTTTTATCATGAAATTTATTATGTTTATGACTAGATCATATGTTCCTATGAAATATAATTTTGTATAATTATAATTGTTATAATAATAGTGTATGTAACTAGCGGGCTTTCCCAAGGTTCTGTGTTAGGACCAATGGTCCTTGTCATATTTGTTAATGACCTGCCAATTCATGTCAAATCAGCGATTTGCAAAATGTATGCAGATGACACAAAGCTCATGAAAGTTGTTGAAAATGATGAAGACCGAGCAGGTTTACAATCTGATTTAGACGAGATTGTTAAATGGACGCAAACCTGGCTAATGGAGTTAAATGTAAAAAAAATGTAAAGTTGTGCATGTAAATTCTGGAACAATAAAATTTGATTACATTATGGATGAAATCAAAAATGACGGTACAACCAATAGAGTAGTTTTAGAAGTCACAAATTCTAAAAAAGATCTTGGAATTCTAATCTCCGAAAATCTTAAATATGCTCAACAGTACAATATAGCTGCAAACAAAGCAAATAATATGCTTGGAATTCTTAAACACGCGTTTGTATTAAGAGACATTGACATTTGGAAAAAAATTTATACTGCATATATTAGACCACATCTGAAGTTTGCCATACAAGCCTGGAACCCTTACCTTGACAGTGACATAAAAAAATTGAAAAGGGTCAACGGAACGCCACGAAAGTTCCTCATGCTTTGAAAAATAAAAACTACAAAACTCGATGTAAAATTATGAAATTAACTACTCTTGAAGACAGACGGAAAAGAGGCAATCTTATTTAAAAATATAAGCTTCTCAACAATTTAAACCTAATTGATTGGCACGTAATGCCTGGCAGCATAGCATCCAGAGCTCAACATCAAATCAGATTTCATTGCGAGATTGTCAGGAATTATGAAATCAGACATAAGTTTTTTAACAACCGTGTAGTCAATGACTGGAATGCTTTGCCAGATAATGTCATCGAGGCAACATCACTTGATAAATTTAAACAACTACTAGACAGTCTTCAGTCATCATAGTTGCTACAACTCATTATTTACCGTGAATGCCACACAAAAGTGGCCAAAATACAAGTTGGGTATAGATGCGTATGCTTAGCTGATGATGAGTTTAACAAGGCTGTGGCTTTGTGTAACTTAAACTAACTAACTATAATATTATATAATATAATATGATAACTAAATATAATATGAATAACTTTTAATCATTGATCTTTCTTTTTTTTTTTTTACGCGAAGGCTTTAAAATAAAACCATACAATTAATTATTTTATAGATTGTTTACATAGATGTATGCGTAAATTAATAAAAAATGTTATATATAAATTTTTTTTATGTAGGCATGTATTTTTCATGATAAATTTAAACGTTTGAAACTATTTTCCTACTAAAAATAACACTATTGTTCCAGCTATTCCCCCACTTTGTGGTTTTTTTTGGATTGTACATGCAAAATGCAACTCTACCTTTAAATCCAATAGTACTTTCATAAATTGCAATGTTATGAGATGGAACAAAATTTCTAGAACAGGAACTTTTTATTTCTGATACAACACGATGCACTTTCCTAACTCATCAGTAAAAAACAACTTGAAAAAATCTAGTTCAGTTCAGTATGAGATTCACTAAAGTGTATTCACTGTCATTTTTCAGTACTTGATTCATCAAATGCCTTCAATACTTCAGTTGTATAAAGTTTCCTTGCCATTTGTAAATAAATTTTTATAAAAATTTCTAAAAGTATAAATAAGGTTAGACAATTAAAAAATGGTACTGAAAAGCACTGAGTTAAAATCACACTATAATATGACCAATTGAATCTATAAATTGTCCAGGTTAGCTTAAAAAGATAATTTTTTCTGTATAAACATCAGCATAGATGTCCTGTGGCACGGGACATGAGACCACAACAATACTTTTATGATGTCCCGTCACGCGGGACATTGGACGGCAAAGGGTTAATGTGAAGCGCTTATTAATAAACTTGTAACGCTCAAATTAAAATAAAATTAAATTGCTTGTTGGCAGTTTATTTTATTTAAATTGTAGGCACATTTTATTTATTTATTTTTTTTTACGAATAAAATAGTTGGAAACCTTTTTTTAAATTAGACTTATTAATAAGAGCATGAAACCATTAAAATTTACTATTTTTAAAAAGTCACGTTATTTTTTAAACAATTTTTTTTTGTAACTTTTTTGAAAAAATAAATGTTTATACAATTTAAAAATGTTAAATACAACACATTAATAAATTTGTAAAATTTGTTCATTTATTAAACAATCATTAGTAGTAATTTGTTACTTAATTTAAAAGTGTTTTGCGTAGCTTTAATAAAACATTTAAAAAAATTTATTTCAAACGTAATTAAAAGCAAAAAATTTTTGCTTTTAACAAAAAGTTTTGCTTCGAGTTTAAATTTTTTTTAATTTTTTTTTATTTAGTGCTTATATAATTTCTTTATTTTAAATAATTTTTTTTTTTTCTTTTTTTTTTTTGTTAGGAATTTTTTTTTTGTTTGTTTGTTTTTTCTTTTAACTTTTTTCCAAGTTTAAGTTTAACTTGGCATTTCTACATTCAATGCATTTTATGAATCATCTGAAATGTTTAACTCATCAAAACATATAAACAATCGTGGTCAAGTTGTCAAAAAATAAAATTATTTGCGTGGTCAGCAATAGCCATCGATCTCACACCATTCCTGTTCAAGTCTGTGATTAGGATATTTTTGATTAATAAAATGTTTTTTTGGTATCAGTTAAAAATAACTCACAGATTTAATCGTTGCCTTAACAAAATTTAATTATTAGAAATTTTATCCACTATATCCACTATTTCATCCACTTTTATCCACAATTTCAATTAACTATAAAAACATTAAAAAAATACTAGGATCCAAAACATCTGACAATCAGTAGACTAATATCCAAGTTTTAGTTTAGAAATCTCTTTCAAATAAAAAAAGTGTGCTCACTGTAAAGATTTCTTTTCAAACTTTGATTTTGATTTATTTAAAAAAAAAATTAACTTTGTATGCATTAATAAAAGACTTGCTGCAAAGCAAAATCCCCTTTTGGCAATACATTTCACATCAGTTTCTTGCGTGCTATTCTGGTTCTGGTGAAGAAATTAAAAAAATAGTTTTCTGTAATTGTTCTTTAGCAGTCTTAGTACTACAAGCACTACATTTGTATGTACTCTTATTTTTTCTTGCAGAGTTTTGCACATTAAGGCTGTCTTTTCTACCAGTAAAGATGTCCAGGTTTTTTAAATAATTAATAGTTGCAGATTTTATTTAATAGTATTAAAAAAACCTTATATTTTCTAAACATTAATAATATTTCAAATAAATTTTCTGTTTGGATTCAAATATTTAGATTTTTTATTTATAATGAAAAGATTTTTTTTTTTTTTTTTTTTTCCATTAACAAGAAAATAAATATAACTAAAAAAGTATTATTATTAATAAAAACAGTGATGATGTTTATTATTGACAAAAACAGTTAGATGAGTTTAATAAAATTTGATTTACTACTTTCATGAAACAAAATATGTCTTTTGCTGAAAAGTTGTCAAATTAAACTCGAAAAACACAAAGGATACTTGATTGCAGCTGTTTGTTGCAGTTGGTCTGTTTTTTGTTTTGTTTTTTAAGAGCAGTTACTATCGTTTAGTAAAAGCAAAAAATATGAAACAATCATT